AGAGACAGGAATAACTGGGCACTTGAAGCTTGGTTTGTGTACTAGCACAGCTCTGATTCAGATTTAATCAGTACCCGGCTGAATCCAGAAAGTACTGGAGCAGTTAAAGACCAAAGTCCTAGTTTCAGGTTTTGGTCACATTTCAACTTGACGTTTTTGTCAAGATATTATCTATCTTCTAAGATGTACTAACCACCATGGAGGCAGCACATTCCCCTCCCTGTGAGCAGACGGCAGGTGAATTAGTGCCAGCTGCACCTGACTTCTTACCACCAGCAGACAAAAGCTTCCAGGTCTCCATGTACAAATGGTTCCAGTTATTTACATCAGCACAAGCTGTCCTCCACTTGGGTTTGCCTGAGGAGAATGCTCACCCTTTACTGCTAAGTCTAATTACTGACTCAGACTAATGGCTCATTACTGATTCAAATTGCTCAGTCTACTGGCTGCACAACTAGGCCATTAACATTTTCTAGAGGTAAGACTCCTGGAAACCAGCAGGAAAAGCCACAGAATGGGACAACTTGCCTGCTATTGCAGCAGAGAATTTCTCTGCAATGAAGCCTGCTTTTAATCCCACTGCTCGCAGTTAAGCCCACAGAAAGGAACCCAATTCTAGATGTTTAATTGACAGGAATTTTAAATTGTTCGTCTTAGGTTCTTCAACTTGCTTCAGTGCTTTCTTGTAGGCTGCAAACTCGTTGGGCAAAGTTTTTTTGCAACATCTACACATAAGACAGTAAGTATAAAATGAGCTCAGCCCAGGTTTTGCCTTCTGTGGGGCCATCAGAGCTTACATTGCACCAACATCACCGTACCCGTCCCAGGCTCAGGGAACTGCAGATGCTATTGCCAGCTTTTCCAACAGGGAAACAAAGCAAGTCAAAACAGGCCTGGAACTTTACACACTGCAAGAGACTTTATGAAAGAAAAAGGGAGTTCATACCACTCCAGACTTTTCATGACTGACACTGACAGTTTATCCAGCCCACATTTATCCTGTACTTGCATCATCTTTTAATCCCAGATTATAGAACCAAACCTCCTTTCCCATTTCTTTCATTCAGTTGATTTAAAAATGGTATCAACACCTCTCACAAAGTGTCCAGAACAGTTAACAACCACTCACAAACCAGTATCCCCATTTAGATATTTTCCCTCTTCACTCATTTCCAATCTCCTCAGTTCTAATTCACTCAGTTTCCAGTTTTAAGAAGGAAGACCAGAAGACTTTATGGAGGTAAGAAATGACATGACTGCTTTTTACATCCTTCTGTCTCCTGACCAACCTACTTTTTAAAACCTGCTCAGTGAAAGACACTACTCATGGCTGCAATATGCCAAATCTGTAGCGTTGAGCTCCTAAAGCCCCAGCATTCCTCAGATAAAGAAAATATTAAGTTTTGTTTTGTTTCGTGTTTGCTTGTTTTGTTTCAAACGTGTGGCACAATTTCCCTTTGGCTGGAAAGGAACGTTCTGCATTCTTTAGGCAGGGAAGAAATCCAGTCCTGTTGGCTCCAAGGCTGCCTTTCACTGCTTCTTAAAACATTAACAACCTCCCAGTGGGAGAGAGGGGGGAGATCCAGCCCTCTAGGGGACAGCGTGCATCTTCCAAGTCTCTCAGGCCTTTCAAACTAAGCAGCAACTGGAGTAAATTAGTGCAAGAAGCTCCTTATGAGAAACGATTGTACAATTTACAAGCTGGAATAAGAAACAGACAGCAACAGAAATCCGCAGGTTCTGGATATTCTAATCCCACCCAAGAATAACTGCATTCCCTGACAAAGGTCCTGGAAACTTGCTCTTCGCTTTCAGGCTGAATTCAGCCCAGAAAGAACAGTGGTAAATGCCTGAGCTGCAAAGTCCACACACTGAGCTTGTCGTGGAGAACCCAGGTTTCCATTCCACCTCATGCCTCCACCTCCCCGGGTGCAGGTCTGCTCTGCTTTCCAGCAACAGAGATGCTCAGATACAGAACAAATTGGCATGTCCTATTTTAAAGCTTTAAGTTTGGTGCCAATTTAATTTGATTTCAATTACCTTACAGGGCAAATTGTATGAGTAACTGGCATTGCATCATACAGCAATAGCAGCAATGTAAACATAGGCAACCAGAGCACGGGATTTAAAAATAAAAAGGGTTTCTTGCCAGCACTCTTGCCTGTTCTCTGAAGAAAGCTCCACAGACCCACTTCTGGAACCCAACGCCAAGCCACGTGACTATAAAGCCATTTCATTTTCTCTTCATCAGTAGTAAGAGAGTCTGTGAGTGGAACTGCATGTTACCTCACATCTTCTGGTGACTCCATCGTACCTATTGACCCCCAGAAATTAGGGCTAAGCAGGATGGAAGAGAGGCCAAAACATTTGGAGAATTACAACTGATAACCAGCCTTTTTCTCCTTCCAATGTTAATTTATCCCTTCCAAAGGAGAGCTAATATGCTAGTAAACACTTCGTTTATTATCCAACAGCTTAAGCCTACCCATCTACACTGTTTCTAAGGCAGAGCAGCCTCCATCCAAAACAAACTATTTTGCCCTGAAGACTTGAAAGGCACCAGCATCACAGAAAGTTTATTAGCTCCATATTTTACATTCCTGTATGAATGGGACAAAAGACTTTTGAGTCTTAGCTATTCCTTTTCCTCCTGAGAGTGCCTATTCTGTGCCAGATAATGCTCTTTGACTCAGACCCTCACCCAGGGATGGAGAGAGGAGTCTGCTGTGCAATGGGAAAAGTCCAAAAGCTCCCCAGTCAGATCGCAGTTGCCCGAAGTGATGTCAAATGTTCCTCCAAAAGAAAGGTCATCACTGACCTAGCTCCTACTGGACCCTTCCTCATCCTGCCCTCTTTGTCTTCTTGCAAAGAGTCTGAACACTGAGCTACAATGGGTGGTTATATGCATGCTGGCTGTCACCAGTCTTCAGAGAAGCCAGACCTCCAGCAACTACTTCGCTTTGAGGAAGCCAGGCTGTTCGTGGTTCCAACTTCCTTACAACAGAACCTGATATGGGAAATTTGAATCAAGGTAACTTAGGTCAAGAAAAAACACTGATAGGAAAGGCAAATTCATTTTTAGATTAGGCATTCATCGCTAGCTGAAAAAATAATGCTAAGTCCATCAAATTTTAAACCAAATTTTTTCAGCTTCTAAATGCCCTCTTGATTTTAGAAGACCTATTTAATAATTACTTACAGGTATTTTTCTAATGTGATGGAGAATGGATGAAGTGGCATGTGTGGGTACTTCCAACAGATATGAACAGATTCAGAACTGGAGGTAACAAAGTTCAGATGATTGCTTGAGGCATTCTGGCCACAAGGGAAACATTTGCCCAAACCATGACAACAGCTACTGCATGGGATGCTTCTGCAGCCACGTGACCAAATGTAGCATTCTTGAAACAGGATGCCACAGGCAGCACCAAGGAGAACCAATTTATTTTACAAATTTTAGATTAATTCATTCCTTTTACAGTTCTCTTTTTTTAGCATATTCCAACTTCTGAATTAACAAAGGGAGTGAAACAGAAAAACAATTTCAGATGTTTTCCCCTTTTGCTCCTGTTTATTATGAAATCCAATTTCAGCTGCTTCCAGTTCTAGAAGAACAGACCAGGACTACTCAGGTAGGAAGCCTACAAACAACACTCACTCAAAAATAATGCAGATTTCAAGAACTACTTGATTTGCTTGTACTTCAGGCTAGACTAGCAATGATTGCATTAACAGAATAACAGTGCATTCAGCTGCCAATTATACATTAACATGTAATTGCAGGTTTACAGAGACATATCCTTATCTAAAATAAGAAGCAGGCTTCAGTATTCAGTCTTAACTGAATACTTGTAGCTTAGTGAATGCAAGCTTAACTGAATGCAAGTAGCTTGACTTGCATCTTTCTTCCCCCTACCTTTTCCTAAGCCACTATACACAACCAATAGATTGAAGAGCAGATAAACTCAAAATGCATCGCTGCTCCAAACATAGCAACCTATAATTCCTGTTAAATGTTTTCAGGACTAGATTGACAGTCCCAGCATGGAAGATGTCCTTCAAATTAAAGTGTTGGCATCAAGGTAGGCATTCTTCCTGTGTTTTGAAGTGTCAAGAATAATTGCTTCAGAGAATTAGCAGTAAAAATCCTGCTTCAGATACCAAAACAGGAACTTCTCCCAGGAAGCAGCCTTCATCCTCACCAGCAGGAGTGAGGATGCATTCAGCACCATTATCCTGTAATAAGGAGACAAACTCAAAAGCTGGGGGCTAGAAGGGAGAAGGATTGAAAACGGGGATGTAGAGAAGGCCCAAACACAAACTTGACTGCATATCAATGCAGTGGTCACCCACTTCAGTGGTCACACCTCCCAAGATTATTTCAATAAATGCAAATCAGAGGACACTGAAGGGCTACAAATACATACAGGAGAAGAATGACACATCTAGTGCATTGCTCAGGAAAGGCAAGGATTGAAGGAAAAGAATATAAAGAAGGACCACCAATGCCTAGTGCACAAAAGAGTGAGGTTTCCAAGCACAGCTAGGGCTTAATCCAGTGCTGCTCCAGCTGGCCAGGGTGCTTTATGGTCTGTTAAAAAAGTGCCTCAGCCATGACATTGGCACTCCTGAATCCTGTGTACTAGTCATATTGATAGCCTTCCTAATCTCTAGGTATTTTACTGAGAAATGCTCAGTATTTAACTCTGAAGTGAACAAGCAGAGGTTATTCTGTGCCAGCTCCCCCTTTGGGAAGCTCTGCTTTCATGTGCTACATCGCAGCTGATGAGCATGGAGCAGAGTGCACCGTCTTCTACTCCATAGGGTGGTGCACAAACAGACCAGCATCTTATTGCTCCTGCTGAAGGAGATGGTCTAAAGGCACCTAAGCTTCCCACACACCGAGCTGGTTAGGAACCTAGGTTCTGAGTTATCTCAAGGGACTTGGCTGGGCACCTGTTATTACAAACCAAGTTGCCGTAGCACAGGACTTCACTCACCTTTCCTTCCTGAATTACCCTGGCTTGATGGTTTATCAGTTACAGAACCTAAAGGGGAGGAAAAGAAAAAAAAAGAAAAAAAAGACATCTATTTAGATGCTGCATGATAACACAGAACATTTAATGTCACATTAACAGTCAATACCTCAACCCACAAAGTGTCTGTTTTACTTGCCAACAGCTCAGTTTGGGATTCAGAGAGCCTGTGGCTTCAACCAACTGGGATAGCATAAGGAAGTTTTATGCATTATGATGTTAAATCCAGATGAGGGTAAACAAGAAATCTTTAGTAGCTGGATCCAGTGATTTGAAAGAGCTCAACAGAACAGCGTGCTAGTAAGAAACCTGGAATAAATCCAAGGGCAAGAAGGAAAGATCAATAAGAGTCCCTGATTTCGTTTGCAAATGTCAGGAAGAACAAATCAAAAACAGGTGGTGAGAGTGTGTAGGGAATGCAAGGGGCAGTATTCTAAAGGAAAGGGATTAAGTGGGACAATTTGCAGAAAATGGATTTCAACCGACCCCTGAACATCCCCAGCTGTTTGAAAAGGGACACTGAATAAGTTCCAGCATGTACTTGAATAGAACACAGCTTGGGTTGTTTAATATAACTTAGATCTTCACATAATATATATGATTCTACACTTGTTTCTGCAGTTTGCTTTAGTGCTGCATCACACAGCTTTCCACTAAAACTTGAACTGATAATAAAAGCTTTTTGAACAAATGCATTACTCTGGTGTATAAAAGTCTATGACAAGTTGGTTCAGGTTTTTTTGAGTAACTTTATTCCCAGAAACTCATTCTTCCGTGCACCATTACTAAACAGTTCCAGTGATTACTGATTCTTCAGGGAACACGGATCAAAAAGTCAGCTCCAAAGGAGGCAGCTCTGACAGACCCAAGAGTCTGGTTAAGAAAAACTCTAAATGTAAAAATCTATTTCCTAGGCACTTTCACTTGCAGATCAGTTTATCACAGATCTGCTGCTGAATTACAACTAGGAAGCACATACCAAATAATAGTCATCACAGCCATAACATCTATGTGTCCTACAATACACCATGCCTTTCCTTTCCTGGTAACACAATTTTATATACAACTCAAGGCTAAATGAACAGATCACCAAAACTCTAAAACATGCCCTTCCAAAACCATATACTGGCAATGATGGAAGAAAATAATAATCTAAGGTTTAAGCCAAATTACTGTAGCATTTCACCTTACACAAAACCAGGACATTAATCTTATTTTGTTTCCACATACCTATGAAACACTAAGCATTCCCTAAAGCTACATTGACTCACTGGTTCCCAGACAGTTCTCCCACTCAACCAAACCCTCATGCAAGTCACAATGTTTGCTTATTACCACAAAACACTCTACAGCCAAGAGGACACTAAATGAGAAGGATTAAAAAAAAAAAAAAAAAAAAATTTTCATTTTGGTTGGAGGAAAAGTGCTCTGCTAATGGCTAGAGCAACAGTAAAATACTTTAGAGGAACAGTAAAACAACACTCAGCATCACCCAACCAAAAGGACACTACAAGAAAAAAAATAAAAAAAAAAAAAAAAAAAAAAACCAAAAGTTTGATTGCTGTTGTGCTCGCATCTAAAGGGCAAACACTGCAGGGCCACATGAAAATCTAGAGCCCAACCTCATCCCATTTGAGTCATGGGCTGCCACATTGGATGGTGGGGAGAAAACAAACCACATCACTCTTGTTTTAAGTAGAGAAAATAATGGATTTGGGTCCCATAAACCATAGGGTGACAGAGCAGTGTCAGGATGAGAGCCCAAAAGGACATTACTCAATAAACCCATCTCTGGACTATTGTGAGCCCAGTGCTGTCCAGCCCCATGACACAAATATGGGGATTCTGGAACTGAGCAGAAGATCCAAACCCATTAAAATAGCAAGACCCTGGATCTGGTGGCTAGAAGTCAACAGCTACCAGTTTCTCACAAAATCACCTTATCAAACTTTTAACTGAAGTCACCCTGCAGGCAAAATGACTCCATGGCCCACTCGGTACAGCCTGAGAACCACTTCTTTAAAACACTGCTCATGGAAAAAAGTTGTCCCATCTGGTTTTGATGTACACAGCAACACTGCGACTCATGCCTTGGCTACCACAGGCCTTAGTGGTTTTTGTCAGTGAGCTCTGCAGGAGTGTCTGACACTTAACTGCAGGGTGGACAGGCCACAGTCCAAGCTCCCTTGCAGCTTCCAAATGCCAGCAAGCACAGAGGGAGATCCAAGCACAACTGCAGTGTTAAATTGGGTAAACCCGCCAAGTCACCTGAAAAAATTAAGCACTCTGAACAGGACACATTCTCCCCAACCCCCTTTGGTTATCAAATTAGTATTTGTTGAAGCCACTCCCACAGTACCTGAACATACAGGAGTTTTGTTCTGTACAGAAGAGCCGCTAATAGGCTTGCCATCAGGTGTCACACACCAGCAGTATCCAGTGTAGGTATGGCACTGCACCTGTTTAATAAAACAAAGAGCAGGCATTTCATTTCTCTATCACCCACCACTTTTATTATAATCCAGCATCCTAGTGGAAGTCCCAGCCCAGGCACATCACAAACACGCTTCAGAGTGAGGAGGTCACACAGAAGAGCATCTTTGATACCATTATCTTTTCTTTCTCCCCTCACCTTCCTCCCCAAAGAAAAGTTATTGCTCCTACTCCAACTCCTTTAGCTGCAATTCAGGAGGCAAAAGAGGTTACAAGTAGTCAACTGAGAACACTTCAGTTTGGGGATGTAGCAGTTGTGTCTCAGCTCTGTTAAATCCCATTTACTATTTACCATTAAATAGTTGTTCCACTGCATCCCAGCTGGGATGTGGAAAGGCCACCCTGGCCTAATTCCACAGACACTGCTTCAGAACAACATCTGTGGGTGTTTCGGGAGCATTTTGTTCAGTAAACATGGCTGGAAAAATGCAACATTGACTTGTTATGTTAACAAATGTTCTCCGGATGGATTTAAGCTCTATCCTGTTACTATGTCAACCTAAGCAGTAGAAGCAAGACCCAACATGCTTCCTCTTCACACATTGACAAGGACTTAAGAACATTTGATGAAGGCTCTAATGAGCCAAAAGTTACACAGCATTAGATTCATGTTGCTTAACTTCTGAGTGCTACTTCTGAGCTGAACATCTAGAATTACCCAGTTCCTTCCTTCATGATAGAAGGACACCAGAATGACTAGTTCAGATGTGGACCTCTCAAGTAAGAGTAGATAAATCCCAGTCTAGCAGACTAGTCTTAGTAATGTGTATACAGATACTAGTTCGGTGGTACTATAGTTTCAACCAGCTTAAGAAATCTAATTACAGCCTTTGCCTCAGTTTTCACAGAGTGCTCAGCATTTGAATGAAATTCAGGATGCCTTTGCCTTCCCTTGAGACAAAAGTAAACGATCATCATACAGGCATCTGTGTAAACACTAACAGGTTCCAAGATTCTTTCTAGCAAACACACTTTCAGTTGCGGATGAGTGTGCACATTAGTACTTCCAGCATCTTGAAATGGTATAGAAAAGCCTACATTACTATAAGCTAGAGATGGCTCCTTCAATACATTTCTGAAAAAAAGCCATGAAATAACTTCAGAAACTGCCTTTCATTTTACTTGTAAATTGAATTCTGTCCATCCTCTCTGTTTCCAAACAAGTTCATTGAAGCTGATTTTCCATTCCAGTCCTTTCCACATAGAAGAGAAGAGTGATGAGGTGTTTGTACCATTCCCTTTATTAGGGATCCTTCAGAGCTAAACCAGTCATTCCCCCTTGCTGACAGCTGGCTCCGATTCCCTAAGGTAGCAGAGTTTGTTCAGAGACTTAACGACAGCCTTTTTAAAAAGGCTTTGAGTATCACATAAAACATGATCTAAGAACAATTACAACACAGTACCATGTGTTTATCTTGGGTTTTACTAAAGTGCAAATCAATCATTTTGCCTCAAGCAAATTCACTTTTAGCAGCCAAAATCAGCAATAATCTCATGTATGCACATTACCAAATTCACTGACACTGCTATCTGCACACACTAATTTTCATTCTCTCAATAGATCACAAAATTGAATGCAAATTACTCAAAAGCACTATCAATATAATTACCAATAATCAAGTTGCAAAATATTTCTTACTGCTTAGTCTAATCAATTGCACATTCAAAATGAGTGTGATGGAACTGCTTGGGTTTCTGCATTTAGTGTTTATCTTTGCTGATCACAAATGCATTATTGCATTCCCAACAACACAAGAAGCTGTCTTTACATCTGAGCATTACTTGTAAAAATCTTACCCAGAGATGAAGCCAAATTCCAGGATACGATCTTGAATTCGTAGGGCAAGACCATTCTATCTTATATTACAGAAAAAACTCCAGTGTACCCAGCATTTAAAAGATTCAAATGTTAGTGACTTGACAGTCCTTTAGTCAAGCCTTCAGGAAATAACAAAGTACATGGCAGAGGAGTCCAAAAAAAAAAATAAAATGTATTGACTTAAGTTTAGGATAAATGCATAAATGAAGAGCATGTTAAGCAACTCATCTAAATGGAGAGCTACCAATGACATACAACCATTTATGCAAGGCAAGCACATTACATTCATAAAAGTGAAGTAACTTTATAAGTAACTAAACTAATGAATGCTGATCTTCCTTAGACTGGTATTCCATGACCCTTTCTTCCCCTTGCTTCCATTAGAAAAAAAAGAAAAAGAAATAAATCTCAGATTGACAGCACTTTCACAACAACCACATGTTCTACTGCAGCACCAAAGGACGTCCCCACAACAGATAATAGCAGGAATGAAATCTCAGCCCTTATCCTAAACGCCAGACAACTACTCGTGAAGAATAAACACTTCAGAAACCTCAAAAATCACTGCAATTTGCTTTCCTCAATGTCTTCAAGTTGAGAGATGCTACCTTTCACCTTTGACCAGATCTCATCATATTTAGGTGTCATAAAAACAGTACCCTACAGTCTAGAGTTTGTAGCTTAAAGGCTAAGAGGAAAAAAAAAAAAAGATATATTTTTCATCAGTTACATGGCACTGATATGTCATTGAAAAAATGTAAAGGCAATAGCTGGTCCAGTATCATTTCTAAACACTGTTTTTCCAATGATCTTAGCTTTGAGGTTTTGTTTCTAAATCCCATTTAAATCTTCTACCTGAAATTCAACCTCATTCTAATCCTACTCCCACAGTAGCAAGATTTTTAAATACTCTTATCAGAAGAGTAACTGTAAAAGTGACACCTGTTTTCTGCAGATGTATTCTTCAGTTACTGAGTTAATTTGGGATCTATCAAAATACACGCTAGAAAAAGCGTTCGACTTTTTTTGGTTCTCAGTCTTTAAAGCTAAGCATTGTGTCAGAAAAAACACATTGTCAATTTCATAGAGAATAAACTTGATTGCTAAGCAAGCTGAAGCTACAGAACACTCATTACTGCTGGAAAGCCACATTGACATCTCAATTTAACATACATCTGTCCAACAGCTGAACATTTTAAGTTATATAATAGGAAATCAGAGAAATAAAACCTGCGAATTATTTGAGGTCTTCCAACAGATTCCCCATTAACAGCTACACTTTCAAAAAAAAAAAAAAAAGCAACCACCTACCAATTATCAAACTGCAGTTTAGAGCACCTGAATCCCTGATTGTGCAAGACACTGTTCCTGTTTTTCACGGGTGAGAGAGATGCCATCACAACCATGCCTCAACTGAAGGATGAAAAACGTAAGGGGGAAAAAAAACAACAAAATTGCTCTGCCCCTCTTGCAGCAGCTCCTCTATTCCTCCTGCCATCACAGTGTGTGAAATCAAAGAGCAGCTAACATACTAGCCAGTTGCCACATGAATAAACACCTGCTCTTATCGAGTTCATTACAATATGAAAACATTAACAGTGTCGTCACTGTCAGACAACTCTGCCTCTTAATTTCTTGAGGGTTTCTTCAGTGTCTCACTGGCGATGCCAGAATCAGATTCCCAAGCAGTCCAAAACTTCTCAACCAGCAAGCAGCAGTATCCTTCTACAGTCACTTGACAAAGGAGGATCAATGTGTTGTTTCCAAAAGATAAATTGGAAATGGGAGAAAAATTGCAAGCATATTTTGAGGGAGAGAAGAGGGGCAAAGCAGTAATTCTGTGATGGTTGAAACCAATCTTTATGGATTTAGAGAAAGCATAACTTTGCTGTAAGACGTTTGAGAGTGCCTTGGACAAGCACTGGGCTAAGCACAGGAAGAGCAGCACCCAGACTAGTCTTTCACTGCTGTTCAGATGAAGAGTTCAGTGACTGATTCCTATCCCATCACACATCAGAGAAACATTTCCTGACGGCGGGCAGAGATGAGAAGGGAAGAAGAACATTCCTTCTACATTCAAAGCGATTCTTCTATGAAAGAAGAAAACACACATTCAGTTTTTGAATGGCACAGCACGAGGCAAGGCTCCAAACCCTGGCTTGCACCCAGGTGCTCCTTGTAAACAACATAAAACCCAGTAAATAAACTGTTCCAAGCTCGTAGATCACCTAGTCTGACCCAGAGAGCAGAAGCCAGAGCGTCACAGAGCAATTCCTTAATCGAGTCTTTTCTTTTGTTGGAGTCACTGAGGCTCATCTAGAAAGTCCTCTGAACCCAAGTTAGTGGCGCATAATCAGCACACGGGCCTGACGGTGATTTATCCTAACTCTAAGTGGTGATGCCTCTGCTCTGGTTGAAATGTATTGCTGTACTGTTCAGACCCTGGATCTTGTCATACTTTCTGCTAGATTAAGAGTCAGCTGACTATTGTAAGAAGCCCGCCTTGCCTTTAGAATTTTAGGGAGCTATGAATCAGTCTGCATCTTAAGTTTGAACTTCTTGGGTACTGCAACCCCTTAAGTTATTCTTGTCACTTTTTCTGTTCCCTGCTCCCATTTAATTCTTCCCAAATCATGTTGCACAGACAAATATTCCCACCAGGGTTTTATGCAGCAGCCACCTCCCTCAAGTCTATGCACCATTCAAAAATGCTAGTTTCACAGGAATATCACTATTCATATAACCAGGGAAAGAAGTGACTTGTGGCAAAAGAATCTTAGCCATGGTCAAGGACATTCCCAACATACACTCTAGCACAAATGCCAGTTTTAGCTCAGGAGAGGGATCCCCAGGAGAAGCATTCTGCTTCCAACACAGAGTGTGACCCTTTAAAGTTAAGAATGATCTTAGATTGCCACTTTCCTTAAGGATGTCCATTCCTGCTTTAGGAATCTATTTGTTTGCTCTTGACTGGTATTTATTTGAAGAAATGCTGTATATAACCAAAGTTGCTACCTCCTTACCCATCTATGGGTTATCTTTAGCTCAATACACAAAAGAGAAACACAATGAGAGCTGCAGGAAGAAAGCAAGTGCGTAAGTAGCAGACAAATCTGCAGTATTGAGAGAGCTCAAACTACAGGTTTT